GCGCTACCACGCCCAGCTAATTTTTTGATTTATTGTAGAGATGAGGTCTCACCAAGTTGCCCAGGCTGATCTTGAACCCGTGGGCTCAGGCAATCCATTCACCTCAGCCTCCCAAGGCGTGGTATTACAGGCTGAGCCACCGAGCCCGGCTGACAGTGCTTTCTGAACGTGCCTCTGCACCCTCAAACAAGAGGGCCTGAACCCCGAACTCCAACCAGGGCCTCTTTGAGGCTGGCAGCCCTCTGCTTCAGCCCATGTTTTTAGGTATGGTTATCTTTTTGTTGTTGTTGTTGTTGAGTTGGGAGTTTCACTCTGTCACCCAGTATGGAGTGCAGTGGCCACTCCTGGCCACTGCAGCCTCGACCTGCTGGGCTCCCATGATCCTTCCGCCTCACCCTTCCAAATAGCTGGAACTACAGGTGTGTGCTACCACACCCGGCTAATTTTTTTCGTTTATTGTAGAGATGAGGTCTCACCAACTTACCTAGGCGGGTTTGGAACCCGCGGGCTTGGGCAATCCACTCACCTCAGCCTCCCAAAGGCACGGGATTACAGGCTGAGCCACTGAGCCCGGCCACGAGTAATTTTTTTTTTTTTTTTTTAGTTGGAGTCTCACTCTGTCGCCCAGACTGGAGTGCAGTGGCCGCTCCCACCCACCGCAGCCTTGACGTGCTGGGCTCCAGCGATCCTTCTGCCTCAACCTTCCAAGTAGCTGGAACTACAGGTGCGCACTACCACACCCAGCTACTTTTTAAAAATTTTATTGTAGAGATGAGATCTCACCAAGTTGCCCAGGCGGGTCTCGAACCCGCAGGCTTGGGCAATCCACTCACCTCAACCTCCCAAAGGCAGGGATTACAGGCTGAGCCACCGAGCCCAGCTTTTTTTGATTTATTGTAGAGATGAGGTCTCGCCAAATTGCCCAGGTGGGTCGCGAGTAATTTTTTTTTTTTTTTTTTTTTGAGTTGGAGTCTTACTCTGTAGCCCAGACTGGAGTGCAGTGGCCGCTCCCGGCCACCGCAGCCTCGACCTGCTGGGCTCCGGTGATCCTTCCGCCTCAGCCTTCCGAGTAGCCGGAATTACAGGCATGCGCTACCAC